GATAGATAGATAGAAAGAAAGAAAGAAAGATAGATAGATAGATAGACAGATAGATAGATAGATAGGTAGATAGATAGATAGATAGATAGTGATAGATAGATAGACAGATAGGCAGCCACATAGGTAGATAGACAGATAAATAGACAAATAAGTCCACACATAGATAGACAGACCGATAGCCCGACACTCCAACCACTTTTCAATCCATCAGTGGGTTCGCTCTGCAATCCATGCGTCACAACCACCGACCTCTACTATACTGGTAGGCTTCTTATTTTTCAAACTTCCGCCACTGCCTTGTGCGGTTCTACTGGTACTGTATACCACTGATTCTGATTGACCAGCCTTTTGGAATGGAACTGCTTGTCATGATCCCAGGCGAGCTGAGCAACCCACCGCCTTTCTTCAATTTCTCCAGCCATGAGCCGGCTACAATCATTGCCGAATCACAGGCTTCGTCAGGTGTTCCCAAAGGAAAAGGATACGACACCGTTTCCTCAGCAGCCATGCTGGCAGAAATCGGGGCATCTCCAATTCGCTTTGGCTTGTGGCCGCTCAGCCAATTGTAGATACTGCGTAGATCAACTGAAGAACATAGTTATCGTATGTTATCATCTACACGACTAACAAAGGGCCGAAGCTTCCTCATGCTCAAGCACCAGCAAGCCATGCGTAGCCTGTGAATGTCATGTCTTTGACCGCTGAAGCTGTCAAATAACCACAAGGTAGAGCTACCTCTAGAAAGTACGGAAATTCAATAGCAAACAGTACAATTCCCTCCCAATCAGACTACTATCAAGCCGCCACCATCCTTTCACGCAATGCAACAAAAATGGGAAGCTTGACACTCAGTGCTGATCTGACACATGTTTGGCAAGTCCCAAGACTGCAAAACGAGGAAGTGCATACTTTCAAGATCTTTCAAGGTAGCACATAGCTTGGTTAGTCCTGGCAACTCAGGCAACTCCTAGCCTCGATCAAGGATTCCATGGAGCCTTCCTGCAACTTTTGGCTAGGCATGGCAAATGCAGCCCGTTGTGGACAAGGATTGATTGCTTCTGCCACATTGCACTCAAAATCACTCAAACAGAATCACATACAATACAATCACTGCACAATAAGAAAGGAAAACACATCCCAAAGAATTTCTCAAAGTGCAAGCATGTCCTTGGCCAAGGCAAGTGGGTTTACCGGGAAATCCATGGGCTCCTCCCCTGCAACCTGTGCATAGGCTTCCACCTCAAAAGGCATCTCAGAATGTCTCAGATCTCAGGTAACTGGAGCGCGGAGAGCAATGCAATTTGTTGGCTTTCGACTTTCATCGACTTTCGATTTCTTTTGCGAAATGCAATCCGTACAAAAGAAGAATGCCTATCAGTCTATCAGGCTTGAGGCAAGCACGCTTAAGGTGAAAGAGGGATTCCTCTTCCAAACCTAAGTGCGTAGTGCGTCTTTCCAATGGGGATGTCCAAGCCAATGCCTAATGAGTCACTAATGAGTCAATAATGAGTCACTAATGAGTCTGAGTCTAGTGATGTCTATGGCACTCTGCTGCTCTCCGATTAGTAACAGATATGAAAGCCCGTCCGCCAGCACGAAGAACACGCCCAATTTCTCGCAAAGACTTCTGCTTGTCAGGCACAAACCTTGCCCATGGAAGCAACAGCGTCAACCAATGCAAAACCATGTAGCTGTAATTGAAGCTAAGAATTACACAACCACGCAAGAGCACGGAACAGTTAATGCTTTGTAAGGTCATCTTGGTTTAATTGCAGTGCTTAAACTTCTCTTCATATCTCTTCACTAAGGCATGCTGAGGCTTGGTGTTCTCTTTTCCATGAGCTCCAGAGAGGCTTATGTATATGTTACTGCGCATGTTGGCAACTACCACGGAAACTATCGAAGTTGGGGAGACTCGAAAGTTATCCAAAAAGCGGGTTTGTATAGTTTTAACATGTTTTAACAGTATATTTTTTTTTTCAGAATGCTTGGTAGTCTGGAAAAACTAACTTGGCGGTGAGGTAGGACTGTGACAGCCAAAGGGCCCATAAAACCATAAAAGTAGAGTATTAGAGTAATTAGCGGTAAAACATGGTAAAACAAGGCACAACTTTACACAGTGAGAAACCACAGGCAAAAAAAATGAGATCAGGCTGAAGTGCAACCAAGAGCTCATTAAAACGTAATTCATCGTCACAGCATCGAAGCTTTTAGGTCCAAAGGAAGACAAGTCATCAGCAGAAACCACGCTGAACTTCAGATTACCTGAGGCAACTTGACAGGAGAAATCTACTGCACACTACACTCCCTCCCGCAGCAACAGGTGATTGCAGGTGCTGGACTCTCTCTCTCTCTCTCTGTCTGTCTCTCTCCCACTCGCTCTATTGTGTGGTACGAGTACGTTGCTTTTTTGACACTATGTGACCCCTGGCCCTTTCACGTGTGAGATCAAGTGGCAAGATGGCAAGGCCCTCTGCGCAAAGTTTAGTTTAGGCTGTGCAGAGAAAGGAGCTGCGCATGATCATAATGCTCTGCATTCCCGGGTGGCGCTTCACATTCCAGGTGCCCTTTACACAATTCGTAGAACAAATTGTTCCTGATTCTAAGGGAGTGAATTGTTTGAATCGCATTCTACGTCCGCCGCGTAAGTGCTCGAGTATGTGCGAGCGCGTGTACAGAAATCCAACAGGAAATCGCATTCTGAGTCCAGTTCAGTGGAGACAAATCGATCAACACCACTACGTCACAAGATAGTTTCTATTAGTTTCTAGACTAGACTTTCTGATACAGCCTGATGTTGACTCCACTCCGCCGATGCAAGATGCAAGGATGTAGATTCAAATGGGAGGTCAGTAGTATCACATATTGGTGGGACATCCAATGTATACAAACATATCATCACATATCACTCTATGGAAGAGGCTGCGTGCTATGCAAAATTCAAAATGACTTATCTACAGTATCTTCTGCACACAGGACCTATGACGACCGAACAAAGACTGTATGAGATATGCCGAAGCATTGGTTTTCGGGTCAGCATAATATATATATATAATTATATATCTACATGTGTAAACAAATACAATACACACATATATATACATATATATATATGTATAATACGTGGTTATATTATACGAGTACCATGTCTTTCTTGCATGATGACGGTATATTGTCCAACTACCTAGCAATCGCACACCTTTCAATCATATTAAATGTCCGTGTCATGTCTGCGTCAACACGTGTCAACTCAGTCGCATGCTGACACCCTCTGCTCTTTTCTTGGCCTTCTTGATCATTTCCTCCTCCCAAACTATGAAGAAACTTTGACAAAAATGTGTCATTTGAAAGGCAACATGAATTAAAATTAAAGATCAATTTGCTCAGATTGACCGCTGCACCATTATGATAATTCCATATAATTCCGTAATGCCATTCGCCAGCATGCCGGCCTGAACATCAGTCGCATGAACTTGCGCTGAGGGCAATGTTTTGGCGATAAGCAATGAAGGCTGACCAGGTCCACATCCAAGGTCCAAGACATCAGTCGCCTTGTTTTATCAACTTCCAGAAGTTGAGCACAAACACAATTCACACACTTGTTGAAATTGAACAAATCAACGTTTCATGATGAATTCCTAGGTGACGTTCACAATGATTTAAGTAACGCAAGCCCTTTGTTTGATAGTCGCTTAATCCTGGGGCTTCCGCATGTGTATTGACCACCTTTTCGGTAATCTTTTCGAACATAGGCCAATTAAGCATGAAGAGGTTTTCATACCGGTTCCTTGCCGGGCAGAAGACATCGAATTTGCCAAAGACTAGAAACATAAAATGAAACAAACGCACATTGTCCTCCTGGGATGATAAGAGACAAACCAACGGGTCATTGTTGCTGTTTGACAAACATATTTCTGTCAAATTTCGGATCAATCGCGCGGGCACAACTGAAGCACAGCAATATGCCCCATGGCAACATGATGATCTGGCTATGCAGGTGTCAGGAATGCAAAGGATGTTTGAAGCGCTCACCCCACAACTGCGCATAGAACATTACAAACCAAAGGGGCACCCTATGCCTTGACTTCAGAAGGGACAGGTATCACGAAGGCATTACTGTAGCCTGCAAACAAATACTAATCTATGTTAATGTTTAGCCATTGAATATTGTCGAATGACAAGCTACAAGATCTCTATCTTGTCTTGTCGGACTCCTGCCCACTCATTTTGATTTCGAATTGTCAAAATATCTTGTCTATCTGTCTATCAGCACTACTGTACCATCGAATATCTAGCTATCTTTCTTGTCTTACTGTAACTCATATCACATCTGCCCTATCGTTAAGCATCCAGTCAATCTCCCATTCTATCTCCTTCGTTTCCTTTCACTCAATCTGTCGCCAGTATCAATCTTGGGCCTTGGGCCCTGATGGCCAAGCTTGATCATTCGGGTTGCGGCGGCGAATGATTATGTGTGGAAGTGCCCCCCTGAAGGCTCGAGCATGCAAATACAATCACATGGAGGCACAAGAAGTATCCGATATGTGTGGGAGTGGATATTTATTCTTTAAACGAAAATAACATCATTTAGCAAACTTCAATAAACATGGCCGGGTAATCCACTGTAGTGAAGCAGCAGCAAGAGTCAAGTAATGTCAAGTATACATTAAAATGATGGACCGCAAAACACTGCAAACCGCTTCTAAGGACCAAACAGCAGGAACTCCTGACATCAAGTCAGCTAGGGAAAGCAAAGGACAGCCGTCTGAACGTGCACTTGACGGGATTCGACTCCTCTAGTGATTTCCTCTAAAAACAAACTTTAACTTTAAAATTTATGCGCTGGACCTTGGCCACCCTGTGCAACATTAAAGCATGCAATGAATAGCATAATTGAGATTGAGGATCCTGATTTGCATTCCCTGTGAAGAGCCAAGAGACAGTGAGTGTCCAAAGTGTTACAGTCTCCAGGTTGGGCCAGATCTTCCAATACAGTACTGTACAATGTGCCTGGACCCAACTTAGGAACTACAGATTCATGGCGACATCTGGAATGGCCAGCAGCCAGCTGCACTATCCGCAATGATATCGGGCCTTCCTCGCTCTCAAGGCCCTCAAGAGGCTCTTTGGAGTCTTCTGCGTCCTGCAGCCCAGCATGTGGCATGCGGGGCGGGAAATGGTATCCCCAATGTGTTAAATTGTAGATGTTTATGGAGATGTTTCTATTGTTTACTGTCAACGTAGCGAACCCTCTTGAAGCCTTTGGCAAATGGCAAATGCACTACAATACCAGAGTATGGAAGTAAAGCTCCTTCACTTTGTTTGGCTAAGGCAAGTCTTTTATAGTCTTGTAACGTATTGGCATGTATTTACCAGTAGTACCGCACAAGGCGGTGGCGGAAGTTTCAAAAATAGGAAACCTATAGGAGAGGTTGGTTGTTGTGAATCCCGGATGGCAGAGCGAATCACCGACAGGTGATTGAGCTCTCCTCTCTTTCTCTCTCTTTTTCTCTCTTTTTCTTCTCTGTTTCTCTCTCTTTCTCTGACTATCTACCTACCTACCTGCCTGCCTGCCTGCCTACCTACCTACTGATCTATCTATCTATCTATCTATCTACCTATCTATCTAGTTATTGAGCTATCTAACTAGCGATCTACCTCTCTATCTATCATCTGTCTCCTCTATTCCATCCATCTATCTATCTATCTACCTGTCTGTCTATCTATGTATCTATCTATCTCTATCTATCTATCTCTATCTATCTATCTATCTCTAAATATCTATCTCTATCTATCTATCTCTAAATATCTATCTCTATCTATCTATCTCTATCTATCTATCTATCTATCTGTCTATCTATCTATCTATCTATCTCTCTCTCTCTATCTATATATCTATCTATCTATCTATCTATCTACCTCTATCTATCGATCTCTATCTCTCTATCTCTATCTATCTATCTATCTATCTCTATCTATCTATCTCTATCTATCTATGTCTATCTATCTATGTCTATCTATCTATCTATCTACCTATCCTATCTATCTATCTATCTATCTATCTCTCTCTCTCTCTCTCTATCCATCTATCTCTATCTATCTATCTCTATCTCTCTTTCTCTATCTATCTCTCTTTCTCTATCTATCTCTACAGTACCTATCTATATATCTATCTATCTCTATCTATCTATCTCTATCTCTATTTCTATCTCTATCTCGATCTATCTCGATCTATCTCTATCTATCTATCTATCTATCTATCTAACCTATCTAATCTATCTAATCTATCTAATCTATCTAATCTATCTAATCTATCTAATCTATCTAATCTATCTAATCTATCTAATCTATCTAATCTATCTAATCTTCTAATCTATCTAATCTATCTAATCTATCTAATCTATCTAATCTATCTAATCTATCTAATCTATCTAATCTATCTAATCTATCTAATCTATCTAATCTATCTAATCTATCTATCTATCTATCTCTCTCTCTCTCTCTCTCTGTCGGTCTGTCTGTCTGTCTACCTATCTACCTGTCTATCTGCAAGCTTGAAAACTGAGCAATTCTGCGAAACTGGTTTAGTTTTTGCACTGAACAACGTCAAAAACGAAACAATTCTGCGAGACTTCATTTTTTCCCGAGAGCGTCTGAGCGCAGGGTTCTTCCAATAGTGGGGGTCTGTAAAACATCTTCTCATCTTCAAATCTTCTCATCTTCACATCTTCTTATCCTCACATCTTCTCATCTTCACATCTTCTCATCTTCACATCTTCTCATCTTTACATCTTCTCATCTTCACATCTTCTCATCTTCACATCTTCTCATCTTCTTATCTTACATCCTCTCATCTTCACATCTTCTTATCTTCACATCTTCACATCTTCACATCTTCACATCTTATCATCTTTACATCTTCTCATCTTCACATCTTCTCATCTTTACATCTGCTCATCTTCACATCTTCTTATCTTACATCCTCTCATCTTCACATCTTCTTATCTTACATCCTCTCATCTTCACATCTTCTTATCTTCACATCTTCACATCTGCTCATCTTCACATCTTCTCATCCTCACATCTTCTCATCCTCACATCCTCACATCTTCTCCTCTTGTCCTCTTGCCCTCTCCTTCTTTTCTATTTCTCTCTTGAAGGCGGGGGGCAGGGGCAGTGCCAACGAGACGGCACGAAACGCAACCCTTTCGCACGAAATGAGGTTCGATCGCCAAAAACTGTGAAGTAAAATTGTGATTTCCGGGTTCCCGTCGCAACCCTTTCGCACGAAATGAGGTTCGATTGCCAAAAACTGTGAAGTAAAATTGCGATTTCCGGGTTCCCGTCGCAACCCTTTCGCACGAAATGAGGTTTGATCGCCAAAAACTGAGGTAAAATTGCGATTCCTCTTGTCCAATCGCAACCCTTTCGCACGAAATGAGGTTCGATCGCCAAAAACTGTGAAGTAAAATTGTGATTTCCGGGTTCCCGTCGCAACCC